GCATCAAATCTAAATCATCAAACGGTGAGTGGTTCACTTGATGGTACGGCTGGATTGGAGGGAAGAATATATCTTGTGTGCTGAAAGAGAAATTTAGAAACCTTTCCTATATGAATATCATTGGGCAAATACCCAGAATTACAGTGTGTATCATTATTATTGATCTTTCTTTCTCTAATTAGGGTCTGGTTATCATTAGCGTTACAAAATTTTGTGAAGCTGCATTTCAAAACCCTACAATAAAATGTAGATTAGATGTAAGAAACCCTTATGATGTCATGCAAATCTATTTTCACCCGAGATTGTATAACTTGAAGCTTAAAAAATGGTGTAGTTTTAGTGGTTTTCTGAATACTTGCAATAGACGATACAAAATGCTTGTTGAAGACGGACCGTACGGGGGCTTGAATTCCCTTTTTGCTTTTTTCCAAATCCATGATCTTCAACGTGGAGACGATCAATTTACAAGGTTTTCAATGCCAGAACTATGTTTTGCGATGAGATTTGAGGCTTCACTTCACAAAGCTGCAGCTTATGGAATATTTTTTTTGCTTTGGAATGGTTAAAAAGAATGCCAGAGGGTTTGAACCTTATCATCTTGTACTCGTCGCATGTGTTCCAACCCTACTTTCTCATAAAAAAAAGAAATTTTAAAATTTTAAAAAGTTTATATAAAGTTGCATCCTTATTTTGTAGAAATAACGTGGACCTCAAAATTTTAGTTAAAAAAAGTGTTCTGAAGTTAGAAAACCTTCCAACTAATCATCTCGATTTTGAAATATATGGATCTAAAGGAAAAAAAAATTGAGTCCTAAAATGGTACATCTCGTAATCATCTCAATCTTGAAATATATGGATCTAAAGAAAAAAAAAATTAAGTCCTAAAATAGTATATCTTGTAATAAGTTCTCTAGGCCATCTAATTTTAAGATTTTTAAATGTTTATAGATCTATTTGATTTGTATTATTTTTAAAATTTAAAATTTTATACTTAAGCTTGAACATGGATTTTTTAAGCCGTCATAAAGTTTCCCCCAGAACTACATGATCCGGCTTAATTGAGAAGTGCACCTACTGGTATAGTATAAGGTGGGAACCTTATACAAACCTTGCCTTAAATCAGATAAATAAGATTTCAAAATAAGTTAACCCTAATTGTTGCGCAAGAGACATGCATACAGGAAAACCTGATTTCCTCTTTGTTCTTCTATTATATACTGACTAGGAGAGAGAGAGAGAATACATGCAGTATGTGCTCCATGAACTCCATGAACCTCATGTATTCAGAGGGAGAGAGAAAACTGAATTCCTCTTCATTCTTCTACGATAAAAAACCCGAGAGAGAGATGGAACATATGCAGTATGTACAGAGAGAGACTGAACATATGCAGTATGTACAGAGAGAGAGATGGAACATATGCCGTATGCACAGAGAGAGAGAGAGATGGAAGATATGCAGTATGTGCCCTATATTCTCATGTATTCAATCACAGAGAGATCGAATATAGGCATCAGAGAGAGAGATTATTAACATCATATGCCTCATGAATCTAGGGAGAGATGGAACACAAGCCTTATGTACCCCATGAGTGTCAAGCATTGAGTCACCAACCTGTATTACAATGATATCAAAGCCTGCTTTCTCTCTCCTCTCTCTGATCCTCCACTTTTGCCCTCTCCATCTGCTCAACCCACTTGTTCATCTCCCCCACATAACCCTCCATCCCCTTCACAAGCATAGCAATCTGCAAACCCAACCTCATCCACCTCTCACCAACCCCATTTCTTCCGAACCTCAAATGAGGACCAGCCTTGTTCCAAGCCATGATAGCAAGCCACTTAGCCTCTTCACTTGGATACTCCCCTTCCTTCAACCCCACAATCACCTGCCTTGCTTTCTCATAAACCCCAAGAGCCCCATCTTCATATCCAGCGATTCCCGCCAATTTTCGAAAGACGAGAGCGACTTTATGGTAATCGGGCGAAGCACAGGAGAGGAGAGAGTTCAGGCATGAATCTAGGGATAGGGTTGCTGCCTCAATATTGGGGCGAGGCCCATCGCATGCATTGAGGCCAAGGTGGAGGAGATGGTTCGGGTTACAGATGGGAGAGGAGATGAAGGTTTTTAGGATTTGGGTTTGGGATTTGGGGTCGTTGAGATGGCCATGGAGCTCGTAGGAGTTGAAGGTGTAGAGGAAGAAGAAGTCGGGGCCGAGGGATTGGCTCATTGATGGTAGAAGCTGTGAATTTTCGGGCCAAATTGTTGAGTAAGTTTTTGTTATTTTGAATTTTCACAGTAAATATAAAGCATTTCCCAGCCAAATATCTTAAGTAATTTTGTAATTCTTTGAAATTTTGTGGCCAAGCCAAATGAGCATTTCCCGGCATACATCTTAAGTGAATTCGTGTTTTTGCGGATCGAAACATATTTATAACCAATACGAGTATGAAATCTTTAAATCCAATATCCACTGTCTATGTTTATATAAGGAGTTACACAGTAGCTGATAAGCTACTGCAACTGCCATAGTGGCTCAAATTGTCTTCCGAGAACTGTTTCCCAAGTCTATTACTAGCGAAAACATGGACTATGGATGTTGTTTAAGACTATTCAAATACTACACTTTATAAAGCATGGTCATTGGTCATTTTTTTAATTTTCTGATGAGGTGAGAGAGCAAAAAAGTATATAAAGAAAATATTTATTTTTTGATATGAAGTGATCACAATTAATCTTGACCATTAAATGTGAAATTAAGTGGCTGTATTTATTTCATTGGCCACAATCAAAGTTCAAATAATATTTTTTTAAACGTTGTTGTACACTCAAGCTATTAGATTTCATATCGAGCTATTAAGTTTCATATAGAATGGTTATAATTAATTGTGAGTTTGTAACCTCCTGTATCAAAAGTAAAAGCAAATAGTCTTATCGTATAAAGTCACGTATAAGAGCACTTGCCATATGAGAATATTGTGAGTAGTTACCACTGTCCAATCAATAGACTAGTGGAGAGAGTGGGACCTACCAAAACTGAATGTTCAGGTGGACCTCTACTTTTAAATATCCTCCGCTCTTCATTGGGAACGAGAACAGACGGTGGATAACCCTTCCGTGTACCTTACACCATGCACCACTGATATATGGTACGATATGCTTCTCAAATTTATACTACATTATTGACATGGGGAAATACCATATAGTCTAATGGAACATGGAGATCTATAGTCCATTTGGGATATCACCGTCTGATCGCTCACTGGGCAGCCACAGATCAGTGTGACTTATCATAACAGGACACGACCACAGTGATATCCCCACTCTACCTCCATAGCCGTCCACAGTGATAGATCCCACCTCAATCCATACTCGGGTCACGATTTCAATGGACAGTGAAGGCCCAATGGACTATGATTCCTCCATAGCCCATTGGATCATGACTACATGATCTCTAACATGCTCCCTAGTAAGATTTCCACACCAAATTACAGTGAGTTTCTTACCTTTCCGGCCCTCTCTAAAAGTGAAGCCACCTTCTTGATATCAGATTCATGCAATTTGTCACCACCAATCTTCTCTCTTGTGATTGCGGCCGCTGCTCCAATTATCAAACACTTACAAACCATGGTCTTGCTTTCTCTCTCATCCCCATCCTCTAATGCTACATAGAATGCAACACCCACCTCTAAGAACTCAGCTGTCTCTTTGTATTCCCTCTCTTTTCCGGCCTTCATGCCTGAATTCCATGAAATTCCGGCGAACCACTTGAGCTCTCGAGAGCCCAAGCTGCCTTTTCCGAAGAATCTCTCCAACCCAATTTGATTCATCCTGGTATTGGCTCTCCTCAAAAGGAGTAAGATCTCTCTTGGGTTTTCAGTGGATGAATTCTTGAGATGGAGAGTGATGAGGTTTCGAATGACTGCAACTTCTGGCAATGTGTGCAACTTTTCTGGCGAGTTTAGGGGGTTTTCTGGTGAGCTGAGGGAGGTTTCTGGCGAGTAGAGGCTTAAGAGAGAGGAGAGAGAGGCAATGGCCACTGGTATGGCTTGGCAAGCTGTGGCCTCATGTGCAGCTAGAGTGAGGAATTCAGGGTCGAAGTCTGGGCATTGTGGCATGCTTTGAACTTGAGAGATTGCTTGGGCTTGGTCTTGTTTTTGCAGGTAGATTTTGAACTGTACATAGAGAGCGAAAATGTGGAAAAATCAATCAGCAAATGCCTATTTGAAAAAACCACTCGAAATAACTAGAATTGCCTTGATCGAAATGCACTCTTTCAGTTGGCCTCTGCTAAATTCAACTTTTCCGTTAACTCGCTTCATTTTATTAGATCCAAAATTCCAAACAAATATTTTTTTTAATAATATTCCAAACAGATATTACTTTTGGGATCGTGTATTATAATACAATATGGTTTATCTTTTTGGTATAAGGATATCAAAATGCCCCAAGTTATTAAACGTGAAATCTCACAGCTTAAGGTGTATCACAAAATCCAAAATTTTTTTTTTTTACAAATTTAAGCCCGGTGTATAACTTTGACCGTTCAATTTTCAGAGTCAACGGTTGAGGGAGATTATGACCTCGGAGCTTCTTATAATAAAATTAAATGGCCTTATTATACATTTTTTCGTTATTTTTAAGGGAAAATATCATTTAGGGATTAAAACCCCAAACTCCTTACCGTATTATTAAAATTTCAATTAGAAGTGGAAAGTTTATTTTCATATTTCCAGGTACCTTTTAAAGAAATATCTTGAAAAATGCCTTAATTTTCTTATTCAAGGTTGGAAATCTTAGCAAGTAGGGGCATTTCAGCAATTTGGTGCACCATGAGTACTCCCATCATTTGGTTGGGATTAAGACATCTTAGTTGGGTCAATTTACAAAAAAGAGGTCATTGATTGTTTATGATTCTCGACCTTGAATAAAGGGCACTTGGAGTTTTTTAGGATGTTTTATGACGAGGTATCGAGTGAAATGAAAACAATAACGAGATTCTATACTATGAAATTATTTATTATAAGTAGAAGGCAGTTACAATTAAGTTTGGCCATTGAATGTGAAATTCAATAGATAATATCGTGTTACAACATTCGAGAAATTTCATTTTATGCTTTATACCAAAACACATCTTCAACCATCTGATTTGAAATATAAGCAGGCAATGATAACGGTGACCTCTTTGTTTCAAAAGTACATGGTCTTATTATATGTATTTCTAATATTAATCGAGATGTTTTGGCCCATCAAATGATTTTGTAAGGGGTTATGACCCTTAAAATGATATTTTTCTTTTTTTTAACATGTAATTCTTTTTCAAAAAAATCTGATGTTTTTCAATCTATTCATCTTTAGAGGCCACAACTTTGAAGATGATTAAAATATGTTTTCCAAAATTAACTTTTCAAGATATTGCAGTTAGTAGAGTAGCATACCTTGAGAAACCCAGAGACAATGTTTGGTTCGAGCTGCATAGTTAGAGAAAATCATAACAAATCTTACCATCAGGGGGAAAAATGGAGCAAATCAGTATTTGAGAAAATAAAATCAAGCCAAGATTTACATATGAGAGAGTGAGAACACACTAGTTTAATATGATTGGGAGAGTGGGGGTGGGGAGCAAAGCGATTCTTAATACACTTTTGATAAATTTTTAAAGAGACTAGGAGCTAACAGATTCACCACTTATTTAACACTCATCTGGGTCCAGGGTTCAAGAGTGTAATATCCACTAGATGATTATTTTCGAAAGAAATGAATGGTTAATGCTTGATTGCGCTTTTTAAAAATCGTACGATCTATGTTTAATTTTGGGACATTATTTCTGAAGAAATTTATCAAAATATCCATGAAAGGTAATTTACCCAATTGCAATAATAACACCACGAACGTATCTTTTGATGGGTACTTTGAAAATCAAAAAATATGGGTAGAACGTTAAATAGCTTATCTCTGATGGGTAATTAGATAAGCCAAAAGATTTAATGCTCCCAAAGGAGCATACCGTCGACTTCTTTCCTTGGGTAAAACAAGAGTAATTTTATGACCTCAAATTTTGGGGATGTAACTTCTTCACACTAACCTCTTGATGAACATTTCCGAATTGAACTTTCTATGTGGTATAAAAAATAATATCTCAAGACTGAACATAGATAGTCTAATTTTTGAAAGGTGAGATCTAAATATCCAAAAACTCAAAGAATCATCCAGTAATTCTTAGGTGGTTCTTAAAATTTTAGACTGAAAAAAATCCTTCCAAATAGATATTTTGACTAAGGAATAGATCACAATATGCTACCACAGGAGCATAGTACACAAGCTTGGAGAGTGAGATGTGAAATTTTTTTGAGGCAAGTCTCTAGTTTGGAGAGGTTACATCCCTAAATTGGGTTTTACCCAGTATTTTAAAACGTAAATAGGTGAAGTGGATCATCCACCCACAAATATGTGTCAAATCATTAGATCAACGATCTGAATCGCTCTGAATCAGTTATCTAAAAAATATTAAAATTTAAAAATAAAATAAAAGCATAAATGGGGATTTATGGGTTAAGGATTTAAGGGGATTTTAGAAACTATTTGACAAGCTTAAAAAAAGGAAAAACAATATAAGAAGAGGGTTTTAAGGGAGGGAACATGACCATACCAACCCAAAACCGATTTGCTTTCGATCTATTTCTATCCAAATCGACGATCCATATTAAAAATCCTTAGGGTTTAAAACACTTATTGGTGAATAAATAGAGACTATGCTCCGGTGGGAGCAAGAAATATTTGACTCTTTAGCGGACCGTGTATCTTGCTAACCTTGCGGCCACACACCGTTATGTCCCAACTTTGACACTTCATTACAGAGCGAGAGACGATGGCCATTTCTCTTGTTTAATACTTTAGTGGGAAAATATAAAAAATATATCTTAATTTTTGAATAATTAGAAATAAACTCCCATTTCTCTTGTTTAATACTTTATTGGAAAAAATATAAAAAATATATCTTAATTTTTGAATTATTAGAAATAAACTCCAAGTTTTCCAAAAGCTCATCCATATTTCTTTTCTTTTCTTTTCTTTTTACGGTTTTTTTTTTTTACCAAAATAATCATCACTATAGTCTTAGAACCGTGAAGATATCACACTAAACTCACTACCATAATGGTCATGGGCAGTTTAATGTTTTGAAGTATCACGAAACTCAAAAAGTTATGATGGTCATTAAGGGTTCTTATGCCCCGTGGCGGTTAAATTAGAGCCTGGATAGTCCAATATACCATCATAGTACTTTAAGTGTCATGATGCTTCAAAACTACATTAGACTTACAATCCATCATAACCATCACGATTTTCAATAGACCGTGATGTCTTCATGGTTATAAGACTACCATGAAGGTTATTTTTGTCTACTCACCCAAAAAGAGGTGTAGATGAAATTTTGAAAAGTTTGGAGTTTATTTCTAATAATATAAAAATTAAGATATATTTTTTATAGTTTCCTGCTTCATTTGGGAACAAAAGAGAACAAGTCATCAAAGAGAGAGAGCTATGACATATTTATTAAGCCAAAATATATTTTACTCTTAGGAAGTATACTACTTATTTATTCCCTCAGATAAAACCCAACCTATAATCAATTTTGGGACCCCAAATTTTGGGGATATAACCTCTTTGACAGAGATTAACTCCAATAAAAAAATTTCTAATTGCCCACTAAGCACTTGAAAAAAATGATGTCTAAAGATTGCATAAAAACTGTCTAATTTTTAGAAAGTGAGACCTACACGTTAGAATAGTCAAATTTCAATTTTTTTTTCATTTGAAAATAATCGGCTAGTGATTCTCAAATTTTTCATATTGAAAAAAATTATTGCAAGTCGTTCATCTAACAAAGGGAGTAAAGTAGGAGTAATTTAAGTAGAGAAAAAAAAAAAAAGGAAATACAAATGGGCCAATTTTGAGCAAAATTATGCGGAAGGTGGGCCAACTCATATATTTTTTTTTAAAATTGCCCCTCAGATCCTCATACCGCTCTTTAATCTTAATTTTTTTAGTTTTATCTTTAGTAGGACAGGACCCTAGTGTGCAGGATAGTGCCCAATCCAAAAGACAATTCGAGAGGCATCCCCCAACCACTTTATTTTTTAGCACACAAACAGGTTAATGCGGTCCGAAGATGCCAACATAGAACAAGCCCGAAAGAGCACTAAGGCCATCCGAGAATGAACAGTTCGGACCGCCTAAGGATGCTAACATCGGAGTCATTGGGCACACCCCAAAACATTAGCGCACCAAAAACATAAAGATCGAGGCGCAATTTTAGAAAAAATAATAAACCTCGTGTTGACCGACCTTTCTATGAACTCATTTCATATTTTAGTATTTGCTTTTGAGTCAATATGCAATTCACTCTAAAAGTAAACTATGATCCCAAGGGAGCATAGTACGCGTGCTACTATTTCAAACTCCAGTTTCATTAGAGAGAGGGAGAGAAATTTGCAAGACAGAGAATTGAGAGCGAGAGTAAAGCTATAAAATCTCTTTCTGGACAATCATTAGGCAGATAGATTTCGAAGAGAGAGGGAGTTCAAGCCCTGTAGTACCTTCTGGGCTTCAGAAATGTATTCATCAGCTTGATCATAGAGACAGAGAGCCAGGTGGCAGAGGCAAAGGGCACGAAGGCATTTGGCCCTCAGCACACGGCTCTCCATGTCGTACGCTATGTAAAGCATGCACTTGTCGAATATTTCGGAGCTCTTCCTGTAATTCTTCGCCCTGAAATACTCTGCTGCACTGTACTCAAGCCAGACAGCATCGTTTTAGAGAGAGATGCAAAGCAGGCAGAAGAATAGAGATAGCAGAGATAGAATGGCGCCACTCGAGAGAGCAACAGGATAGATCGAGAGAGATGCAAAGTGTACAAAGAGTAGAGATACAAATGGCGCACAGGGAGAGAGAGAGAGAGAGAGAGCGCACAAAGAGTAGAGGTAGGAGTGGCGCACAGGAGGGAGAGAGAGAGTCTGAAACACCAAGAGACAGACAGCAAAACCCTAAATATTGAGATGATAAAATTCTTGATAAAACAGAGAGAGAGAGCAAAACTACTCACCAATTCCATAATACCGCATGCATGGCGGTCCTCTCTTTCTCTCTCCCCTTCCCTGCAAAAACCGCCACCACTCTCTCCTCTCCCGCCACTGTCCCCACTGTCTCTCCTCTTCCCACCGTACACAACCTCTCCACCACCCTCACCATCGCCCCAGCCCCCATTCTATCCGCCACCGTCATGCACAACCTCGTCGCCACCTCCTCACCATGCACAACCTCCCCACCACCGCCATAGACAACCTCTGAAACCGCCTCAGCCACCAGCTCATTGCTCCACCACCTGTTCTCCAGCGCTTTGATGAGTTCTCTCTCTGCTTTCTCTCTCTCTCCAAGTCCTAACCACCCCTTCAAAGCCATATACGCAACCCCTGAATCCGCTTTATCATACACGACCCTGACACATTTCATCACGCTTTCGTACTCCTCTCTCTGTAAATGTACGGCGGCCATGAATTTCAGGCACTTTGAACGAAGAGATTTCAGGGCTTCGATTTCTAGTGCTTCTCTGGTTGAGCAGAGAGAGATGCCCTTTTCGCATAGATCAAGACCGTCGGATAAGAGCTTCAATGGCTCAGATCCTCTCGATCCACTGGTTTTGTTCTCGTTGGAGAGAAGGGACTTCCCAAATTTGAAGAACTGGTTTGCGAGCTTGTAATGGCCGCCAGAGCGAGGGTTCGGGTTTTGAGAGAGGAGATTTTGAGCTCGAGCAATAAAGGTTAGGGCTAAAGGCTTCTGAGATGAGTCCCATGCAGTTGCAGAGCGAGCAATCTGGAGATCGAAGAGAAGCTCCTGCTCCTCATCACCGGAAAACTCGCCGGATACCAGTTTTCCGGCTAGATCAGCCACCCTTTCGAAGCAAGAAGCGGCTAGGTCGTACCTTTTCAGGTCATGCCATATCAGGCCTGTTTTATAACAGAAGGATGCAGCTTTAATGGTCGGAGATGGAATTCCAGATGGATTTCCGGCCAAAACCAGGATATCTGTGGCTATCTGGCGAAGCTTTGCTTGTTCCTCATCAGATTTTGGCCGTAATTCTTGGCCTGAAAATTTTCCGGCAACAACTGGTCGAGAGTTTGTGAGGTCGACACTGGCGTTCCAGAGCCTGTAGCTTAGCTTCCATGCTTGGAGCTTCTGGTTCTCTGGTAAAGGAAGGGCAGAGTTAAGGCGAGAGAGAAGCTTTCTAAGCTTAGACGAGAACTCTGGTAGTAAAGTGTTTGATGAAGTCAAGTCACTTGGTGAGATGCTTTCGATTTCTTGGATTGAAGCTTCAATCTCTGAGAGGAGAGAAGTTTGAAGGTCGAGAAGGTTCAGGCCTGAGGGTTTGGTTTCAGGGGAAACCTCTGAGATCCGCATTCTTGTTTGCTGGCTGCAAAATCAGAGGAATGTAGGTAGAGAGAGAGAGAGAGAGGGAGAGTTGGAAGTTCAAGAAAGAGCTAAAGTTACTTAACAGTAGAGAGAGATTCCCACAATGTATGAAGCAGGAACACCTGTGAAGCTTGTCTAGGAGAGAGAGAGAGATTTTGGAGCGAAAAGAGAGTAATTCCCTCAATGTAAGAAGCGGGAAAACCTGCGAAATTTGCTCTGATTGCAGAGAGAGACGAGAGAGAGGGGCTCCCACAAATATAAGATG